GGTGTTTTGTACCTGTTGGCAGCTGCATGTTCTTGTTGTAGCTGGCCGCTGAGGACATGGCCTGACCCAGAGCCTGGTTGGTGCCCAGAGGGGCTCCGGGGGGTTTGGCTGCTGCTGTGGAGTGCAGTTTGGATTTGGAGTCCTTTCCTGGTTTAGACCACACCAGGCTCTCCCCCACCTGGAGGGCAGCTCCCATCTTCTGAGCCATTTCCATCAGCTAGGGGTGATTAAAAGGAGAGGTTTGGGAAGAGGTTGTGATGTGAGTTAGGAGGAATTAGCATCAGAAGGTGCTCTACCTCTGAATCAAACTCAAAGTTGCTGCTGCTGTCTCGAAGGAGGTTGACTTTCCTCTCCATCTCCAGATATTGATCCAGAGCAGCTTTCTTTTCACCGTGATTATAGAGGAAGATTGCAAAGTTCAGGTTGACCAGGGGGTTGGATCTGTGGGGAATTGTTCATGAAGACATGAAGACATGAGCAAGACAATATTTCAGTCCATCGAGATAGAGATCAGATACAATTTCAGATCTGAGATAGAAATTAAGACGGGCTCACTCATCCAGATTCACAGCCTGCTCATACGCTCTGGTGGCGTTCTCCACATCTTCCAAGTTGGTCAAGGCCACTGTTAATCACAGATATGTGAAAGGAATCAACAACAAACACAAACACGAGGCATTTCAAATCTCAGTAATGAATGAGGAAAATATCTTGCCTTGCAATTACTGAGAACAAAACAAACCAAACTCAGAGAATCACAGGATTAGAGTGCATTGTGACCCTGCCTGGCATCTTATACTCTGAGAGCACAGCATGATTTTCCTTAAAGGAGTCATATTATACCCTATTTCAACAAGTTAAGCTAGTTCCCTGGTGTCCTAATGTAATGTCTGTGACAAGCTTTGGTCAAAATCCCATAAGGATGAAGCCCAATAGCAGTTCAGTCCCCCTGCCTAACCCTAACCCTAACCCTAACCCTAACCCAAAACAGCCCCGTTCAGAGCGCTCGCTTTGGAGTGCCTGTCTCTTTAAATGATAATGAGACACATCGGCACGCTAACGCTACCATGCTAACGCTACCATGACAACAGCTGAACGTGAACTCAGGGAGAAACATGGCAGCTGGAGGAAACTTTTCGGTCCAACCTTATATGTTTGAACCAGAGTCAGACCCTGAACAAGAAGGAGCTAGCAAAAAAGCTGTTCAATATAGACTGCAACAAGACGTTTCTGAATGGTGAGTTATGAGTTTTATTTGACTTTTTTCTTAAAAATGGCGGAGCACAGATGGGCGGAGTAAGCTGAGGGGGGGGGCAACATGCAGGTGAAAGGCTGGAATATAATAATGAGCTAGAGCTAATGACGTCAGAAACTACCCACTCCTGAAACCTCCTGATTTATCTCCTGGATTCAGACTGAGGCGGCCCACAAAAACATGACTGAGTCATTTTTTTTAACACTCTCCCTGCTGATAGGCCCTCCACAGTCCCAAATGTACATAATCAAATTATTAATAAAAACTTGGTTTTGCATAATATGTCCCCTTTAAAGTAATTGTTGTTCCTCTTTAACAGCAGTATTATGAATGAGTGTGACGTAATACCTGCCAGCAGCATGTACAGCTCCCCCATTCGAGGGTTCAGGTTGATGGCGGCGCTGAGGAAGTGGAAGGCGGACGCATACTGCTGCATGGTCAGGTGAACCAGGCCCAGGTTGTACAACACCTTCCAGTCAAAAGGAGAAAGGTACTGCGCCCGCTTCAGGCAGCTGATGGCCTGGGGGATAAATACAGACAGGGGAGGAATGCCGTCAGGATAAAAAATGGAGGAATGTTATTATTTTGGTGGATTGAAGATGTCTCAGAAGTTCTGATTGTGTTGCATCATATTTTTATAGAATGATATCATATTTATTTATTATTTCTTGATGTCTGCTTGGCTGTGAGGTGTCCTGGTTTTAGTTCCGTTCAATTCATAAAGTTGCAGTTCACAGCATATTAAAGCATTTATGTCCAGTTGAGATCAAGCTTTCCCCCTAAAAACTTCAACACTGGATATTTCTCAGATATAGGAGGGTTACAGGGTGTAAAACTCTTAGCTGATCATTTATCAGATGGAAAAGTATTATTTTGTGTGCATCAAACAACAAGAACAACGTATCTAATGTCCACATATTGTTGCCATTTTAAACATAGATTAAGCGTCTATTACTGATGACAACACATGATTACAGTCCTATAGAAAAGGCTCGTGATCACAACTGTTTCTATAACTTGTGGCCAAGAATTCCCAACAGATACATTTAGATACCAATGACTTATTTGACTGAAGTAGTTGTAGAAACTCATGGACGTATTTCATTATTTTTCCACCAGTCTGCTCCATTTGCGGCTGTAACTGTTAAATTTATTAAGCAAAGACTCACTTGGCAAAAAAAAAATTAGATTTTGGGAAACTTTACATATCAACGCAAACATAAACAAAATTTAAATGTTCCTTTTTTCTGTTAGTGACCATAGTTAAAACATTACAATTCCCCTCCAGAAACACATTTTTTAAATTTTTGGATGACATAATGTTTTACATATTGCCTATTACTATGGTGTTGTGCTTTATGTGTAAGCTGTCTTTGTTACATTTCGTAAGTGAATTCTCCGTGGTTTGTTTACAAATTCCAACACAGATTTGAGATGATGTATTTTTGTACTTCTAGACATGTGCATAAATACTCACAGCTACATATTTCTTCTTTCCAAAGAAGCACATGCCGATGTTGTTCCAGAGCGGGGGGCTTTCTGGCACGGCGCTCGCTGCCACTCTGTACTTATTCAAGGCCACATCAAAGTCACCGTGGGTCTGCATCATGCTGCCTGCAGCCAGGATGGCCTGCGAATAATAACTGTGATTAGACAGATATCTGAGGAGGACGTAACCTTTGAAATGGCACATCATGAAAGTTCAATTTTAACATCCGAGACGGCACAGAATGACCTTCTATTTCAACACAACCAGGTTTAAGTATAGCATTTCCATAAGGGCTTGCATACCTTATAATTGTTGGGGTCAAAAGTGAGGGCATTCCCAAGGTGCTCAAACGCTTTTTGGTACTTTCCCAGCTGACAAAAAAAGACAAATAAAAAATAAAATGTTTCAGTGAGCTACATGTGCA